ATCTTTTAAAAAGCGAAAACAAGCGGAGTTTAAAATACAAGGCACTTACAGTTGCAGCGTATTCCGTTGAGGTCCTGTCATGCGTGGAAACAAAAATGATGGACGCCAACAAAAACACAACTCCTGTTCCCAAAGTAATATAGAAGTCCTAGGCGACACACAGGACAGAGGGGGACAGCACCGTCAGATGCGAGGCGACAAACTTTCATTTCAGAACACGTCAATGACTTGTTTTCTTGATACAACCCTAACTTACACACTGCAACTTCTAACTTTCCCACAAGCCTAGAACTCAACAAATACTCCGTAAAGAAACACTGCCCACACACTCTTTGGCCTGGGCATAATGATGGAGTATATAGCAAGACAGCTATATATATATATGTATGTATGTGTGTATGTGTGTGTATGTATATAGTGTATGTGTATATAGTGTGTGCATAGTGTTATATAAATATATAGTGTGTATATACAGTGTGTGTATTGTGAATATATAGCATATGTATATATATCGTGTGTATATACAGTGTATGTATATACAGTGTGTGTATATAGTGTATATGTAGTGTGTAGAGTGTGTGTAAAGAGTGTGTGTGTAGTGTGTGTATATAGCGTGTGTGTAGTATCTGTATATATATAGTGTGTGTGTATATAGTGTGTATAGTGTGTGTACAGTGTGTGTATATGTGTGTAAATACATAGTGTGTGTATATATAGTGTGTGTGGTGTGTGCGCATATATATAGTGTGTATAGTGTGTGTGTAGTGTGTGTATGTAGTGTATGTATATATAGTGTGTGTAGTGTGTGTATACTGTGTGTGTTGTGCGTATATAGATAGTGTGTGTGTACTGTGTGTATAGTGTGTATATAGATTGTGTGTATAGTGTGTGTGTAGTGTGTGTATAGTGTATATATATAGTGTGTGTATATAGTATGTGTGTATATATAGCGTGTGTAGTGTGTGTGCATATATATAGTGTGTATATATAGTGTGTGTAGTGTGTGTATGTAGGTATGTATATAGTGTGTGTGTACTGTGTATAGTGTGTGTATATATAGTGTGTGTAGTGTGTATATAGTGTGTGTGTATATATAGTGTGTATATATATATAGTATGTGTGTGTGTGTATATATAGTGTGTGTGTGTGTGTGTGTGTATTTTTTTGACACAGGGCATGTGCTCTCGCTGGAGATAGAGAGGCAGTGAGCGGGGAAGTGAGAAATCACCCCCCAGTGGGGACAGTCACATAGCATTCTCCTCGTGAGATTCTGGGCAAAGATAACTGTAATAAAAACTGTCCTCGTGTGTGTTCTCTTCCTCTAGGACATGCTCACTTATCAAAGCTGAAGGGCTTACTACAATCCTCTCTTCCTTCCAGTAAAGAGCACTTCGTCCCCTTTCCAAGTACGCTGCGCCAGGACGGCACTGCTGAGAGTACTTGTGCTCTGAAAGCATCGTTACCTAAAGAAAAGGCTGCCCGTAGCGGGTTTCGGACATTTAAGCTTTCTAGAATAACACACTGCCTTCAAGGGCTCCGAGTGGGTAATCCAAACTGAGCCTGTCTGCTAAGCTTCTCTCCACGTGGAAGCTTGCACTTCTCATCAGAAGCGGCTTACGACAATGTGGTGCTTCCCGGGTTCCCAGCGCAGTCTCGGGCCTCACCTCACTGGGCTCTCAGATGTCAAATGAAAACAGTGCTCGACAGACACGCTCCATTCAGACGGGGAAATCGGCAAAATGATCGCCACTCCAAAGGCTTTTAAGCCTCATACTGTCTGAATTTCTGAAATGCAACGTCTACTGAACTCAGTTACCAATCAAACTACCCAACATAGACACCTCCAGTGTCAATCATCTGCTTAACATTTTTTATTTTAAAAATGAAGAGGTTTTCTCTTTGCTTCTAAAAGAGGAAACTTCCTGTGGTATCTTCTCCATTTTTTTATCCCTTTGAGTGTTTTATTCCTTTGAATATTATTTCAAGTCTGTTACATACAAATGTTATTTATATAAATATCCTATCTATTAATATTCAGAGCATATTCAATGAGATAGTTATAAAAGACAATCATTTTGGGACCAACAGGTGGCATGGTGGTTAAGGCGCTGGACACTCACTCCCACATGGCCGACCAGGGTTCGAGTCCTGAATCTGGTGGCTTACTTTTTCACTTCCTCTCTCACTCTCACCCTCTGTCTCTCTCTGGTCAAATTTAAATAAAAAAAAAAAAAGGAATAAAATAAAACAAATAATTATTTTTAAAAAAAGAAATTGTCATCTTAAAAAATAATAATAAAAAAAAAGACAATCATTTTAAAATAGAAGAATATAGTGCCCAAAAAACATGGGTTCAGGGAGGCAGGTGGTGCAGTGGTTACAGTGCTGGACTCGTGCATGGCTGACCACAGTTCGAGTCTTGAACCTGGCAGCTTGCTTTCTCACTTTCCCCCTTTCTCTCTCTAGGGTCACATTTTTAAAAATAATAATAAATACAAATAAATAAAGTAATTTTTTAAAATAGGTTCCACAGCCAGACTACTAGCGTTCAAACTCCAACTACAGCACTTCCTAAATATGTCAGTTTTACCCAGCCAGTTAAAGTCTCTGTCTCCACTTCGTTCTGTGCAACATGAGAATAACAGCAGTATCTTCCTCATGAAGTCATTCTAAACGTTACGGTTAATCCATGCAAGGTACTTAGATCAGTGCCAGGCACCGTAAATGTCTCATAAACGTTGGCTTTTGTTACTCTTAACAGAATCTGACCCACGACAGCATGGGACAGAAAAGATTCTCTCCTCAAAGAGGTTATTGTTCCTTCCCCACACCACCACTACCACATACTTAAAATATTCTCTCTAAAACAAAAAACCTCTCCTACAGGAAAAAATATTTAATTTATTGAGTTGTCAGAAAAATCATGATGTATTTTTTCTATGTAAAAATGTACCATGACTTTTCTGACAACCCAATAAATCCACTAATATGCAGACAGTAAAAAGTGATTTTTAGGGGCTGACAGATAACGTGATGGTTAAGGTAACTGGACTCCCACATGGCTGTCTATGGTTTGAATCCCGGACCTGGTGACTTGCTTTCTCACTGTCTCTCTCTCTCTGGTCAAATTAAAATAAATAAATAAATAAATAATAATTCTTTAAAAAAAAAGTAATTTTTAAACCATTTCATGATGTGAAAAACTGAACATATACTTTATAATTATAGATTTTTCAAACTTAAAAATCATGCCTAGAAACAAAGGGCCCAAAAGAAATAAAGCAAAATAATGAAAAAAGTTGTTTTAGAATAAAATTATTTATTTTTCTTTGAGTATTTTTAAATTAATATTTACTCTAAAATAACTTTTTAGAGGTTTGAGTCTAACATAATAAATGTTTTACATTATACATTAGACCATATTGCTGAATTGAACAATATCATATTACTTCTCATCAAACAGATCAACGCGGGGCCAGTAGGTGGTGTGGACAGGGGGCTAGACTCCACACGGCCGAGTTTACAGTCAGAGTCCCCGTCCCGGCAGCTTGAAAGCTTCACTGGGCCCATGTGCGTGCATGTCCAAAATCCCAAGAGAGTGGAGGGGAAGGGACTGTGGCATGGCCATCTACCCTGGGGAGTGACTTCTCTCTTTCTGTCTCTCTCTTTCGCTCTTCCACTGTCTCTGTCTCTCTGTCTCTGTCTCTCTCTCTCTCTCTCTGGGGAGCACATGCACCTTATGACCAAAAAAAATCTTCAACAACAATACAAACAATAGGCTCTTACAGCACAAAGTTCAAGAAGTATCACTGGTCAGCAAGTGGCAGCAGTGGTTAAGGCCCTGGACTCCCAGTGGTTCGACTGCAGTCCAAGTCCCGGACTAAAACGCACACATGTACGTGGGTGCCCCAGATCCCCAGAGGAATGGAGGAGAAGGGACTGTGGTGTGGCCATGCCCCCTTAGGGAGTGCTTTCACACTCTCTCTCCCTTTCAAGCCCATGCACTCTGTACCACACACACACAAAATCTAACCGATCTAAACACCATAAATTGCCAACTCTTAGCAACACGTCACTCTCTAACCTCACTTTTCACCTCTACTAGCCCCTGGATAGGGAGAACCTGAGTTGTTTAGAGAGAGCCGGAGCGATCGATGGTGTCTTTTCATGCTGCTGCCTTTCGCACCGCTCTGACCAACCACACACGAGATTACACAACAGCTGTGCTCAGAACACGGGCGATGTCTCCAGGCTTACCGAGGACTTGACTTTCACGGCGTCAACTTTGTCATAAACGGGAGTGCAGTACACGATGAGAATGAGGAGGCTCAGGAGGGAGGCGCTGCAGCTCACGAATTCAAAAAAGTACAGCCCCCCGCACAGAGTGCACTGTGACACCACCTCCTCGCAGATGAAGGCCAGCAGGGACAGCAGCTGTGGAAGACGCACGACAGCTCGGTTAGTGCTTGGCCGGGACCAGGGTGCCAGCAAACACCCCCGAGAATGCGAGTATTTAGAAAGTGGACTACAGTGAATACAATCGCAGAATGAACCCCATCTACACAGAACTTAGTCTAATCCCCGAATGCAATCAACTAATTGATTTAGTTATTTACTAATTAACGTAATGAATTAATCATCGTAAACAAATAATTCATAATGACTGCATGCTAAATGCTAGAACAGGGGGCATATAGGGCGTGGTTACAAAAGCACATGGGAGAGAACCAGCAGTTAGCGTAATGGCTATGTCGCTGGACTCCCACGCAGTCGACCACGGTTTGAGTCCCGGACCTGGTGGCTTAAAACTCACACCAGGCGCGTGTGCGTATGTGCCCAAGATCCCGAGAGGAGAATGGAGAAGGGATTGAGGCATGGCCATCCTCCCTGGGGGGTGATTTCTCACTTTCTGTCTCTATGTCTCTCTCTGTCTGGCAAGCACACAAGGCCTATAGTAAAAATCTCTCAAAAAAAAAAAAAAGCACATGGGAGGGGCCTGCAGGTGGCGTAGTGGTTGGGGTGATGGACTCTCACATGATCAACCGTGGTTCGAGTCCCAAACCCGGCAGCTTGAAAATCACTCTGATGCATGTGTGTGCACGCTTAAAATCCCAAGAGAAGAATGAAGGAAAAGGGACCATGGTGTGGCCATCTCCCTAGGGGGTGATTTCTCACTTTCCCTCTGTCTGTGTCTCTCACTCTCTCTCTACAGCACATGCACTTGCGCAATGACAAAAAGCTAAAAGAAAGTAAAGTAAATGCACCCAGGGGAGGCATTCAATCTGCGGATCAGGGCGGGCTTCCTGAAGGACGTTAGGGAGGCTTTCAGGGAAAAGCAGGAAGGGAGGCTCCCAGCAGATAAAGGCCTGGAAATGAGAGAGCATGGCACCCTACAACCCCACCACACACACGCACACACACGCACAACTCAACAGTCAAAGCCAGTCAAGACAAGGCTAAAGCGCAGCGTGGCAGGGCAGGGCAACACAGACAGGATTCTGAGACTGGAGAGGGAAGCAGAGGCCAAACCTAACTGTCCTCACTAACTAGCTGACAAGTCCGTATTCTGGGGGTTTTCAAGTAAAGGGGGGATGCGCCCACATTTATCCCTAGTGCTCACTGGCTTCGTGAAGAGACCGGAGGCAGGGACACTGGGGCGGACAGCCCGCTGGGACGCTGATGTGGGATGGGGCCAGGGGAAAGGCAGGGCCTGTCAGGGGTGAGGGAGAAGGGCGCACACGGACAGGCGTGGGGGGCCCTCCGCAGACGGCACGCTGGCACAGTGGGACGCATGAGCCGCAAACGCGTCATCCTAACCTAGAACCGAAGGGCACTCTGGCGCACCCATTTTGGACGTAGGTATTTTCTTTGGGTATGGTTCTACTGATTGGAATTCAATATTAGGGTTTCTCCCCCTGATTTTTTTCAACTATTTAAAAATTAATACAATCATTGTCCATATTTACGGAGAACGGGGTGTCTTGGTTTGGTTTTGTTTTATAATTTGCTAAAGGACACATGCACTCATCAGAGAGAAAGAGGGATAGCACCCCCACCGGGGCATGGCCACAGCACAGTCCCTCCCTCCCATCTCCACCCTGTAGGGATTTAAGGCTCGCACACGCACCTGGCATAGTCTTCAAGCCACAGGGACTGGGATTCAACCCATGTAGTCACCCACATGGGATCGGCTGCCTTAACCACCAGGCCGCAGAGTTGGCCCAGGGTACAGGGTGTTTTTTTGGTGCATGAAAACGTGTTATGACAGGGCTGGCAGGTGGCGTGGTGGTTAAGAGTGCTGGACTCCCACATGGCCAACCCTGGTTCAAGTCCCGGACCCAGAGGTTTGGTTTCCCGCTTTCTCAATTTCTCTCTTTCTCTCTCTCTCAGGTCAAATTAAAATAAATAAATACATAAAGTTAAATAATTCTTTAAAAAAACAACATGTTATGATCACATTGGAGCAACTTGCCTACCTACCGCCTCCAATATCTGTCATTACTTCCCTGCCATGTTTTCTGCATTGATCACCTCCCCCACTATGGACTGCCCCTTCCACACGGATGTTCCCTGAAGCGGAAAGAAGTCTTGGACACCCAAGAATCAGACCGCAGAGTCTTTCGCAAGCCAGCCGACTTCACTGGGCTTTCACGGTCACCCTGCTCTTCCTCAGTTCCACAGCAGTCACTCAGTAACTCAGTTTAGTCTTTCTAGAGCACTCGACTTACGTTTTCACAGAAGCAACTCCTTTTAACACTCAATTTGAGTTTGCGTAATATTTCATTGTGTGACCATGCTAAGTATAATTAGCATAAACCGGTATGGGAACAACGCAGCCCTGAAGACGCCAGACGTGAGCACGCAGCAGTGCTCAGAGACACCAGCTGGCCAGGACGGGCTGTCGGGCCAGGGGTGGGGACGGGGTGGTCAGCACCGTGCATGGAGAAGGGCTGACTCCATCTCCTCACTCTGGGAACTCAGTGCAGGCAGGTTTTCAGAGCACTCTGCTGCGGATGCAGTGCTAACATACCGAACCTCACTGCAGAGCTGCGTTTTTCTTTCTTTTTTTTCTTTTTTTTTTTTTTTAAGAGACAGTTTTGCTATCGGGCGGGTGCACTCGCTGGAGAGTCAGAGACAGAGAAAGCGAGAAATCACCCCTCAGGGGATGGCCATGCCACAGTCCCTTCTCCTCCATTCTCCTCTCAGGATCTGGGGCACACACGCACACGCGCCCATCCCCAGTGTGGGTTCTAGGCCGCCTCGACTACGTGGGAGTCCAGCACTGCAACCATCACGTCGTCTGCTGGTGTGTTTTTTGTTTTGTTTTGTTTTTTGGGTTTTCACGTCGTCTGTTGGTCCTGTTTTTTTGTTTTTTTTTTTTTTTTTCCTTTAACAGACAAGGCCGAGGCCAGCAGGGGGCATGAAGGTTAGGGTGCGAGACCCCACACGGCTGGCTGCACAGTTAGCGTCTCAGACCCAGCAACTTGAAGATGATGCCGGTGTGTGCTGCCTGCCCAGACTCCCAAGGAGAGCAGAGGAGAGGCTGCAGCGTGGCCACCCCAGGGCGTAATTTCTCACTTTCTCTGTCTCTCTCTCGGGGGAACACGTGCACCCTATCACAAAAACGGAAGAAGAAAAAAAGAGAGAGAGAGAGACTGCTGGAGAAAAGATAAGTTCCATTTAACAATGCCGAGACTGAGGGGCCTGGGGACAAGGGAGTGGAGACGCTGGGGGCGAAGAGACCAATGGCCTGGAGCCTGCCGGGGAAGCAGGTGTGGGCGGCCGCCCCCCACGAGGAGGCTGGCCTTCCCCAGAGCTCTGAGGAACCCCAGATGGAAGGTGCGAAGGCCAGCTAGGAGCAGCAGTTTCAGGGGTGGTAAGGCAGAAAGAGGGCGACCCAGAGTGCTCCGTGGGACTCGGAGTCCAAGTGCGAGCAGCACAGACGCCCACGTTAGGCTGCGCTGGGAGGTTGTGGGTGACAGCAGCACATTCCAGTGTGGTTAGGGCAGCCAGATCCTTGTCCTGTACACCAGGAAGTGAGGGCGACGGGCCGACAGGCAGGGCGACAGACACAGCACGGGCAGGAGGCGCTGGGGCCACCCATGGCCTGGCCTTACGGGATCCAGAGCCCACACGGCCAGCTACGGTTTGAGTCTTGGCTCCAAGGGCTTAAAAAATATGTTCGTGGGGGCTGGCAGGCGGCGTGGTGGTTAAGGGTGCTAGACTCCCCCATGGCCAACTGCAGTTCTAGTCCCAGACCTGGCAGCTTGCTTTCTTGCTCACTCGCCCTCCCTCTCTTTCTCTCTCTGGTCAAATTAAAATAAATAAGTAAAGTTAAATAAAATAATTCTTAAAAAAATAAATAAATAAAAAGCAATGCTGGGTACACATGTGTGTGTGCCCAAAAATCCCAACAGGACAGAGAAATGGAGAAGGGATTGTGGCATGACCATGTCCCATGGAGGGGAGTCTTTCTGCATGTCTCTGTCTCTCTGGCAAGCACACACACTCTCTGGCATTTAAACAGACAGAGCCCAGGAAAATGAGTGGGGCTAAAGACAGGTAGGAAAAGGGCTCTCTAATCTTAGGGTTCAGGGTTCAGGGTTCAGGGTTCAGTGTTCGGGTCTGGGGCTCATTCCACCCTGGAAATAGGAAAGAAGAGAGGAAAGAGAGGGGTTCACTTGGGCAGTTTCTGTGGGTTGCAGAGAAAATGAGGGAGTTTCCTCCCGAGTGGCTAAACCATCACATGATGGGTGGCCCAAGGCCAAGGCTAAGGGAAATGCACCTCCCCCGTCCTGCCCACAGGCAACCACACGAATGGCAGCGGGATTCCTGCCGGAAGCAGCAGGTGCAGCTCACGATGGAATAACCACTTCATCCTGGAAGGCATTTTCATCAAATGTTCAGCAGTATTTTTTTAATTTAAACCAACCGTTCACCTACCCTAAGACCCACGAACCGCACTCTTCGGCATTTACCCCACAGAAATGAACCTCCCATTTACGTGAACGCTGCTACGTGAAACACCGTAAGGACATATTCAAGGCCGGCAACAACCCAGATGGCCTCCAATGGTTAAATGGGCGGCGGCAATAGCAAAGGGACACACTTGATGTACGAAATGACCTGGATGAATTACGAAACTGAATATACGAAACAACAGGATGAATTTCCCAAGAATTATGCAAAGTAGGAAAAAAAAAAGGAAACTATTCCCCAAAAGTTACATACTGTATAATTCCTTTTACACAGCATTCTTTGAATAATAAAAATCAGAGAGAGAGGGCCCAGCAGGTGGAGTGGTGGCTGAGGGTTGGACTCCCACATGGTGGACTTCGGTTCAAATCCTGGACCTGGCAGGTCGCTTTCTCCCTTCCCCAGCCTCTGTCCTTGTCTGATGAGCGCATGTGCCCTGTAGCAAATTTTAAATAATA